TCCAGGCGTGACATACAAAGTATACATCGGACGGCTAACTGGATATGACAGAAGCCATCTAATTCATATCAAGTCAAACAGAAAAAAACAAAGAATTGAGAAGGCTGACATGCATAACTGCTTGTGTAAACATCGTCCAAAAGTGCTACCAACATGAAAAGGGATGGTCAATCATTGCCATACGGTTCACAGGTGGTCATCAGTCACCGGAATAGAAACAAGGTAAAGTAAGTCCAAGACTAAAACAGCTATTGAGCTTCAGTAGCTGTGCCGTGCCATCAATGAGTGTCCAGATAAGCCAATCGGCTTCGCTAGCCTATATGGCTGGAAGAAGTACCTTAAAACATATGTACCACATAATAGTTATCACGGGGACCAGAATAATCTCATGAACCATAGAAATAGATAAATCTACCACTTAAAACTCTAGTCCAGATGTAAACGAATATCAAAACACCAATATTGGATTCATCATTTATACTGACGCCTCAGACTTTACCACAATCAAATTTCATATTAAGTCCACTGTGTTATGTCTTAACGAAGAATATATTAATAGTAACAGCTAGAAACTATTTATGGACTATTATTGCATATATTCCTATTGCATAACTAACAAGTAACTATATTATATGTATATTCATATTCCTTTTATTATAAGCCTTCATTTGACTCATTGACTACTATTATACGATTTACTATTCTTAAGTTATTCTCAAATTATTAGTTACAGCTTCTCACAATCACAACCACTTTTTGGCTTAATCTTGTATAATTGTCATTTTCTATTTTATGGTATGATGCGGTTTGTTTTGCTTGTATGCAAACTGTGTATGTCTGAAATACATGGTTCTACAGTGGAAGCTGATATTAGTGTTCCGGGCTGAACAGGCAGGGTTAAATGAGAAAGATCAATAAGGACTCTAGGCTGCTTGTACGGTTCAATGTGTGTTTTGGTTTGGCACAGTGATAAGATTGTATGAGTAGTGTTCTGATTGACGATTTGGTCACTTGATAGTTAACAGACAACAAGACATACCATCAGCCTAATAGGAATCTATGGATCTGCTTGAGATAATGAATTAGTAATGCTTTTGCTTCACATAGATTTCTGATCAGTGATTCGATTGAACCGGATTTCAAAAATATTTTAGGTAACTTTAGAGACTACTTTCAGGAGGAACTAAATGGTCACAGGTGACAAAGTGTTCAAGAATAGAACTATCGATTGTTTAAATTCCTTCTTTGAACTATTATATACAGTAATGTTGGGAAATTCGTTATGCAGAAAGCACTCTTTGTGTATGACCTGATGAATAAAGATTGATTTGTTCCAGAGTGGTTGCTTATTCTTAACAAACTTTAGAATGTACTGTCGAATGCAGTAAACAATTCGGAACTGTACATGACAGATTTTCTGTCCCAGTGATATTGACGGTCCGTTTTTTTCGAAATTTTTTACTACTGAAAGAAGCTCAATGTTCATATACAAGTCTTCTTGCGTACTGAGGGTATATGTTCTATTTGCCGTTAATATTTCTTTCAATGAACTTGAGAGGGCAGTCATTTCCAATGAATTTCCGACACACTGTATTCGATTCATTATCAATCGTACCTTCTGTACGAATTTGTTTGACCACTGGTGATAGATTAAGATTCTCTACCAGGCACTCAGCTTTGAAAATTTGTGTGCCGTCCATCCTCAGAGGGTTTTCAACGTGTTAATCTTTGAAGAGGGGAATTCGATCTTTATTTCAGTAAGGCATCGGATATACTGAATTTCGAGTTTAAAACCAATGCTAGTGGGAATGTAATTGATTTGTAGGATATCATTAAATTAGCTGTTTCCTTCACAAATGAAGTTATCATATCTCTTGTATAATTCGAACTTATCGATCTTTGGTTGAGGGATAATATATATCTAACAATGTATCTGAAATTTTTATCTTCATAAAGAATCATTTCAATTGTTTAAATTAAATTTACTTTGATATTTTTTAAATCAGTTACCATTTTATAAATGTGTCTATTTGATAACGAATGATTGGATACAACACAGTAGGATGCTTTACTTTAATTAAGTATTGTGCTGATTGACATTCCTAGGATGATAAAGACTTTTTGTAGAAACTTAAGCTATCTCAGATAAATGAAATAAAATCAGATATTTTATCATTAGTACTACGGATTAGTTTATATACTGATCTATAAGTGAACAGTAACCAGTATTTTGTTTTATATCTAGTCATTTCAACTAATCAAATCATGTAAATCAATTTAGTCAACCATTTGTAAAGTAAACGATAATTATTTATACCATTATGTTCTATTGGTATTTGAAAAAAATGTTATTTGGATATAATTCACACTACTACTGTGGTGTGCATTTACATTTGTCGACAGATATAAGTAGTATGTTGCAGGAATTAAAACTAGGATGGTTATCAGCAGAAAAGTGAAATAAAGAGAAGAGGGAGGAAAGCAAAGAGCAACAAACAACAACAACAGGATCGGAAGAATGATGAAGTATTTAATAGAAAACTGAAGGAAGATATGCAAACAATGTATTCAATATACAATTTTCATGTTTTACAAGGCCACTGTTTGATTTAGTGTAAAACAATAAGTTGGTTTTTCCTCATCAAGTATTCATTGACTACTACTACTACTACCACTAGGCGAGACTATAATTTGCGGACGACCTTCGAGCCACGCCAAAGTGACCCTGAAGGTGAACACCTACTGACCAAGACTAAATGAAGGTTATAAAGCAGTTAGAATCCTCATTTACAGTTGATGGTTAGGGTTAAAATTTAGATTTAGGGTTTTCATTACGAACTGACATCAGCTATAATGCCAAAACTCTATTTAGCCAAATGTATGGATGAATTTCGCACCAAAATTCGTGACTCGTTATCTTATATCTGATTGGTTCGTCTATAAATTATAGTTTCGCCCTACTACTACTATCACACTAGTAATACTCTTCAGACTATAATTATAATTAATGTTCTGATTAGAACATCAATAAATCCTGACTGTATTCATTAAATTCACCTTGGATTAGATTTAACTCTTCACAAAGTTAGTGTATCACGTGAAATAGTAATTGTATTAAGGATTATTCATTATTGTCAATATTGATACTAGTGTAATGCCAATATGAGTTTTTTAAAGATAAAAATGATTGGCCTGATTATTATCATTATTATTATTATTATTATTATTATTATTATAAGTATTTACAGTTCAAACATTCCGTTGATTATAATCAGTATTGGATTTAGCTACATCAATATCAACTAAAAGAGATGAAATTATTAAAATGAATAATAATAAAACAGTAACAATGTGTATGATACCAAAAACAAAATTAAAAATAGGAATATGTTTTGAAAAGAATAAATCAAATCATTCAGTAAAAATGATCCAATATTATTGAATGTTACACTCTAGAGCAAGATAAAGAAAGATTATTATCTAGAGTAGTGCAACCAATTTCTAGTCATGATATATAAGATATCCACCTATTTATTACAATTCAAACCAGTTAGTTTGAACTGTTTGACCTGCCTTAAACTAGCAAGTAATGTATCTATTTATAATGTTTAAAGGTTTAAGTTTTAATAGACAACTACATTTCATAAAGACAATTGCAAACAAACTTGCTATTCAAACTGATTGTGTGACTCATCATTAGTATATATCAAACTATTCATTTCATGATTAAAAGAATTAAAGATCGTAAGTTTGTTGAAAAATGGGGGATATGAGTTTAATGATAACAATAAATACAGTTTATTTGAGTACAACTTGTCAGATAAACTATTTATAATAATGAAAATCATATATAAACTATAAGAGTTATCTTTTATTTCAGTTGAACGAAAGTAACTCTCTATATTTAATTAACTAGAAAACAACTAAGATTATCTTGGATATTTATAAATTTTAAATAAACCAAATACTTTAAATCAAACAGTAAAACGTAAAATATTAAACTGAAAATATTTTTTGGTAAATTAGATCATCATTGGATTATGAAGACCTCCATATCTTAGAGGAAGCATGGAATACAATGGAAAGCTTGCATAAAGTTAGATGACTTGGACTTCGCAGATGACCCAGCCCTTCTATCCCGTACACACGAACAAATGAATATGAAGACAACTAGTGTAGCAACAGCCTCTGAAGAAATAAACTTCAACATACACAAATGAAAACGTAATATCCTCAATTACAACACAGAGAACACTAACCCAACCACATTTGATGGAGAAACTCTGGAAGAGATGGAGACTTTCACGTACCTGGACAGAATCATAGACGAACAAGAAGGATTCGATGCGAACGTAAAGGCTAGGATCGGCAAATTAAGGGCAGCATCCCTACAGTTCAAGAACATATGAAACTCAAAACAACTGTCAACCAATATCAAAGTCAGAACCTTCAATACGAACGTCAAAACAGTTCTTATGTATGGAGCTAGAACTTCGAGAACTACCACAACCATCATCAAAAGTATGCAAGTATATATGAACAATGTTTAAATAAAATACTCAGTGTCCGTTGATTGGATACCATCAGTAACAGTCTACTGTGATAGAGAACAAACCAGCTCTCATCTGAAGAGGAAATTAGGAAAAGATGTTGGAGTTAGATAGGACATACATTGTGGTGATCACTAAACTGCATCAAATGGCAAGCCATAACTTGCAATCCTGAAAGAAAACGGAAAAGTGGAAGACCAAAGAACACACTGCGTCGAGAAGTGTAAGAAGACAACTAAAGGATGAATAGCAACTGGAAACAACTGGAAACGATTGCCCAGGACAGGGTTGTATGGAGAACGATAGTGGGCGGCCTGTGATCCTTTACGAGTGACAACAGGTGTAAGTAAGTAAGTATGTAGATCATCATACTTAAGTTAGTTTTACATTAATAACAAAGGATTAGGATAGCTAAGCGAAATATACTTAAGCTATCCTTATTTAACTAACCTTTAATTGCTTTTTCCAACAACATCATTCCCATAATATCTCGAAACCATCCTATTTCACGAAAACGTATCACATTTATAAATGGTACATCTGGATTTAATTGATTTGGCACTTGTACACTTCCTATAGCAACAGCAATAAAACGTGAATGCCATTCTGGTCGCCCACCTTGATCACGTGATCTGCATAGTAATGGATGTAAACAATGTCGACTGAAATAAGTAATATGTTCAGCTGCATCATCCGGTATAAATAAAACAATACGACTAGCTTGAGAAAATAAACAAGCATTAATTCGTGTTGAATCTGACCAGAGATCATTTTTCATATAAGTTGAATTATTTAAACATAAAACATTTAAATTAGGATATTTATTCATAACATGATTTGATAAATGTCTAGCAGCATCTTCATGTTTCCAATATGATGAATCATTACTGATATTATCTGAATAACATTGTCTTGCATAGAAAGCAGGTGATAAAATTATTGCATGATGATAACCACCAGTCGACATGTGTAGAAAATCAGTAATAATTCTTAAATGAATTTCAGAATGATAATTTCCTTTGCTCTACTACTACTACTACTATTCGAGCGATACCTTTCTTTATTTGTAATAGCATAAGAGATAGAAAGATTTATTATATTCCATAACTTTTTATATAATCTATTCCACGGACAACTATTTACACAATTTTAACAGATTTATATAAATCAATGAATTCAGTTAGACAGAGAATCTTTTACTATTCGGTTAGATAATTTGATTAAACAAAGCTATTTATTCGTTGCTTAATGATGTATTTGATACTTAAGTACAAGTGTGATACTAATTAGGATGAATAGATGAACATTCATTTGTATATATGCAAATTAAGAATGTCTGTTTCTCAACACTTCAATATGTCTATACAACTTAAACACAAATTACTTATTGATTAAATGACCAATTTACACAATCATTTGAATAATCAATAATTATTAATTGAAATTAATGAGACTGAAAATTTAATTCACTTATAGATAAACGCGTAGGTGTGATGTAGTTGGCTACTCATTCGTTTCGATGACGGATAAGTGTTGGATGCCGGTTCAGTGGTCTAGAGTTTAAGCGTTCACTCGCGAGACTGATAGGTCCTGGGTTCGAATCTCGCAAGGGCGAGATCATGGATGTGAGCTGCTGAGGAGTCCCATACTAAAACGAAATGGCCATCCAGTGCTTACAGGTTTTCCATGGTGATCTAGCTTCAATTGACTCATGATCTCAATCACTGATACTAAATAAGTATTTGTAAATGGAGAGTTTTTATTGTACAATCACTTATAGCATTTTACAAAGTTCGAGAAAATGACAAAAAAATGGTAACAACATCAATTCATCATGTATTTGATAAAAAGCTACATCTAATATTTACTTTTGTTTAAATAATCCTCTTTCTCAACTTAATTATTTTCGATATCTTTTACTTACTATAAAGTAGATTGTCTCTGAAACAATCTTCAATATTCGTGTATGCATAAAATGTTCCATCTACCATATTATCATATATATGTAAATTGGTGTTTATTAAATGATCAACACTTCATTTTGTATCAATTGTAGTATTATTAACAGTCAAACAGTATCATCGGTATCTTTAACAATTATTCTTTTGTTTCTATTATCAATCAGATTCTTATCTTAATAAGCTGAATCCATTAGTTCTTATAGTTTTAATTCATAAAATCAAATCCTAGAAACAAAAATGAATGAAAAACTAGAGTAATTTTAATTTCAAATAGTTAGAGATAATACTAACATTTTTTTCATCAACTACATTAATGAATATCGAGGTAGTAACTCACTGAAGACAATGGTGAATGTGTTACTCAATTTCGTGAATTGGTTGAAGTTAGACATTAACACCGTTGGATGCCGGCTCACTGGTCTAAAATATCGATATTATGTAATTGTAGCAATTACAATCTAGTTACCGTATATTGTTAGACTATTCACATAATAGTTATTTTAATTCATATATGGTGAACTAACTATCAGCTGACTAACTTGTTTGTAACTTAGTTTAACAATACAGTAGAATATTCGATCAGTTTATTCAGATGATATAAAAAACATTAAATGATTATTGTAAACAAAAAGAAACTTCTATGATATTTACTAACAGTCTGAAATGTTGATATCCAATTACACTGTTTCCTATCAAAAGCATGTATAAATCACACCGGAATCTGTGTATTTTACTTAGAGTTTATTAAAACAACTGGATGTCATAAAGCAGTCAATAAATGTCCTATTTTTGAGCTAAGCGTAATGGAAAGATAACATAGAGAGAATAATAAATGCCTACATCCATACTATAGATGACTGTAGAAATTCTGAGACCTATACTTTTTTTTTACAGTAAAGAAGTTCAAGTCCAAGACACAATTTTATATTTAAAACTGATTTTACTTTCAAATGACTAGTGTTGGGGATCGTTGGAAGAAAGTTAGGGGAGGTCAAACCAAAACGTGGCATCAGTGCTTGAAGTTATTAATTTCTAGTTTGAGCCAATGTTGGTAGATGCAGACTAATTGATTAGAGTCAGAGTGACTATTGTAACCAATGGTTGGAGACTAGGAGGTATGCCTCACAATCGATCACAGTGGCGTATAAGTACACACTCTCTGTCTTCCCTTAAACTGTGAGATTAAAATTGCTTTATATCTTCTTTTCTACGAATTAATTATTTCTTCCTGTACTATATCCTTATATGCAATCATTTTTACATATATTACTACAATTGAGCTAACTACTTCTATGAATTCGGTGTTCATCTTGTTGTGCTAATGAGGTAATGGCAACTTGGACCAATACATATATGTGCCTGGTCTTATGTTGTAGCTGACTGACTGTCTTACATTCAAATATATATTTGGTGAATGCTACTTATGTTCACAAATATAATTAGCATGTAACACCAATCAAAAGTGGAATGCATGGCAGCAGAATATTAAGATTGAATTGAAGAGAACAGGAATGTAATCAAGGAGCAGTCGTAATAATAACAGGAATGAAAGAGCGATAAAGTTTGTAAGAGGCAACTGATGAAAGATGTGCAAATGAAGCATTTAATATATGCTTTTCATGTTTTATCAAGATACTCTGTAATTTTGCACTAAACAATTAATCGGTTATCTCCACCTCATCCACAGAATATATATCATGACTCAGCACATAAATATTTAATTTAATGGTAGTTGTATTGATTGGAATTTTCTTCTCAGATGAATACTTTTGGCTGTATTACCCTCTATGGGTTGAATAATTTAATTTCACAGCTACCGTTATTGATAGGCTAGGTCAATTAGATATATCACTTTAAGGCTAAATGATAAATACTGATGTATGCACATTATTGATCGAGATCCGACATAGTAATCCGGCCGAAACAGAGATATACTCATGAATGAATTTGTGGCTGGATGGTGTCATGTTCACTTCAAAACATTGGATTACTGAAATTGATCACATTTGGGGTTCTAAGAGAGCTATTACTGAATAAACTCAAAGTAGAACAAAATGGCTATCCCATGTTCCTTGGTTTTTTACTATTAGTCGGATGATGTATTTATAGTTTCTAGAATGAGCTAAATTTCTTGATGGTAATTATCCAACATTTTTAGCACCCTATCATAGTTACTTTTTTCACCAGATACAATGAAATTACTATCGCTTTCATATTAGGTTTTTAAAGGTAATCGGTTTGAAATAATGAGTCTCAGATTCGTCTTAGGTAGCACTCGTCAATCAAGTGCAACTGCTTCAATATTATTTAAATTGATGCTCCTTGTATTATTCCAATCTGGGTCACCCAGTTTCACATTCTGAGATGTTACGACTGATAGAGGGTATTCTTTACTGAGGAGACCAAATAACATGAAAAATAGGTCCATGGTATCTTGGAAACTACCTTCAACTAAGCAGCATCAAACCACAAAGCATGCGACATAGTCCCACTTAGATTTGTGGTTGTTCTACAACTTAATTGATTAAATTCGTTCAGCAATGAGGGCTAGATAAATATGACATTGGCTACCACTCAATTATAAATCAATACATCTATCTATCCCTTACATCATATTACATTAGTCTATAATCAGGTATGATGTAGTATTGCAATTATTTTTAAATGAATTAATTAACCTTTTTTTAAATATTTTCTTGATTCTGTTTATCTTTATCATACAAAGAGTATCATTAAAACTCATGACACTTTACAAATTCACCTTAATGGTAATTCTTGTAGACGGTAATTTTCAAAATATCGATTTTGATCTAGTCATATGAGAAACAAATTACTTTAGCAAAAAAAGAGTTACTTTACTCAACACAATAAGTAGAATGTTAATATTGACTGAAATACAGAATAGTCAATATCATTTCTCAGTTACATTGAATAGTACTTTGTTCCTACGTTCTACTTTACTGTTATTGAATGAAAGTTTACCCTTAATAAGTGATTAGTATTACAAAGGATGAATTAACTGACAAAATGTTTAGCATATATAAGTCAACCTAATTTTTTAAAAATGTTTGCTGTACAGATCCTTGAATCTTAACCGACCTGATTTTAGAAGACAAAAACACTACACAATTGACTGAGTGTTTCATCGCGTATAATAGAATTAAAGCTATTATTTATTATACAAAATACCCAATCAATATAGTATGACTAGGTTACTTACAAGATAACAAATAATTGTCAGTATGTAAACAATATTATTTCATTTATATCATAAATACAGTGTTACTGTTTAACCAAATAACTGACCACTCAACGATCAATCAACTATCAATACATCTCAGCCTTATAAGAGGTCAGTCAGAGAATCGAATCCTTCATAGAACATCAGTCCCTTCGAGATTATAAGTAAACCTTTCCAATAAATGCCAACTAGCACGAAACCCCAGTTCAGGGTTCCCTGTCGATCAGTTCACACCAACATACTTTTATGAAACTGTAGAAAGTAAAGGGCGAAAACGAACTACCACAATGGTAATGAAAGCAACAATATATAAACAAAGAAGTAACAAATATCTTTTCCACAAGTAGACTATTGTCTGGACTCAGTGGTTAAGTGGACAACGCAATCGCGTTTGAAACAAAAAGTACTGGGTCCTAGTCCTGAAGTGAACGTCAACTCTGGGATGGAAGTACATCCAACTGACAAATCCCAGATAAAACGAAGCGCGCTTCCTGGATTTCACTGCTGACCACATCCCATCTATTCCATGTCCGTTAAACTTGTTAAGAATAAATGGAAATCCTAAAATTGTGTTTAGAGAGTAAAATATTCGATATTTAAAGGTGCTTAGTATGGTCAAACGGACCACCTAGAGATACTTCGAAAAATGGGGATAAACAGACATTTGTTCATTACTAATTTGAAGCTATTCGCCAGTGTTCAACTACGTCTGTATACAAGATTAAGTCCAAAGTTTTGGGATCTTGTGATAATGACGATACTTTCAGACCACCGAAATCGGAAGTTATTTTGATAAATAAAAATACTTACCTCATACTTACGTCTGTTATCCCTAGTGGAGGAGCATAGGCCGCTTAACAGTATTCTCCATCGCACTCTTTCTTGGACAATCCTTTCCAGTTGTTTGCGATTGCTATTCATTCTTCTGACATCTATCTCGTTTGTTGATTCAGTCCATCAGTATCTGATAATAAAACATAACCTTTAAAATATCTTCTTATTTGTTTGTCTAGAGATTGATGATTAACTAATTTCTTTCTTAATTCAAATTACCTTCAAGTTTGTTTCATGAGCTATCGCTTTGAAATTGATCTATAATCCAAAATATACTTTTTTTATAAACCTCAGAATCTAACCTTTGTTTTAATCCTATTGGACAAATAATAAGTCAACAGTGTATTAATCATTATGTACTCAGAACATTGATCAATAGAATATGATAAAGGAGTCAAAGAGAACCTATTTCTTCAAATTATATCTTCTTGAAGAAAATAAATAAAGATGAGGCTTTATCGGCTAGAAATTTAATGTAAAACTTTTGATTTCAACGTATTGATTATGTTCACTTGAAAATCTAACAGTTGCAAGTTCCATTCTTTACGGTATCATATATATTCAGTGTCAAAGAGTACCAAACTAAAAAAAAGAATAAGAACATTGATTTCTAAATTCCAATGATCATTTTCAATTCATTTTATTGAATTATGAAAATGATAGTGGAATTTCACGAAAAGTTTTTTTTGTTTTTAAAGATTTATCATATTAAACAAAATCTACAACTTGGAATCGTGAAGGGAAGCGGAAAAGTGGAAGGCCAAAAAACACATTACGTCGGGAAATAGTAGCAGATATGAAAAGGATGAATAACAACTGGAAAGGATTGCTCAGGACAGGGTTGGATGGAGAATGCTGGTGAGTGGCCTATGATCCTTCGCGAGGAGTAACAGGCGTAAGTAATAAGTAAGTAAGTATTATGTGATCTGTAATGTTATGTGTAATCATGAATATCTCTCATATATTAAATCATAATCATCTGATTAGATTATTGTAGGTATACCAACAACAATAATAATAACAACAACAAAAGGATTAAATCATAAGTTTACCATAATTGGAGATTTATAGAAGTTTAGATGTATAGTAAGATAAATTTGTTACTGATTTTTGCTAAAAAACAATTACTTGTCAGTAGTCTCAGATAATATCTATAACAGAGTTTTTTTCATTTTTTTAAAAATTATAAATTTACTATTACGGCAATCGGTTGTAAAGATTTTTATCATAAACTGTTATAAATTTGCCAATGTATGCATTTCCTAGCAGTTACATAGAGGAGTATATATATATATATATATATATATATATATATATATATATATATATATATATATTAGAACATGGGATTGTGGAGTTTGTAGTGATTTTAATAGTTGAATTCATGAGTCGATGTAAGCTAGACCACCATTGAAAACTTGAAAGCATTGGACGATCGTTTTGTTCTAGTATGGGACTCCTCAGAAGTGCTCACTCACGATCCCGCACTTGGAGCTAGAACCTTTGGCCTCACGCATCAACGCTTAAACTCTAGACCACTGAGCGGGCATCCAATAGTGTTGAAATCTAACTTCAATCTATCCACTGTATTATACGACCATCTTCGATTGTCTTCGGTAGGTAACTGCATCACACAAGCACGAAAATGACATCCAGCGTTTCCAGGTTTTGTAATGTGGTCTAGCTTTAATTGACTGATGAATTCAACTATTGAAAATTACTACAATCTCCAGAAAACCACCTTTCTGATAATAAATACGAATGGGTGTAAGCATTATAATAAGATTTGTGAACCGGAGAAGTTTCAGCCAAGAAAATAAAAAGTGGAAGGTTGTACGAATATTAATCAAATTATGTAATCATATCATCAACATAAGACAAACTACAGATGTTTTTGTGATTACTACCATAAAACACATTTTCATCATTCTAACTAGTATGAATATAAAAATAAATAAAGATTTGTTGACGACAATTTTTATCATCAATTTCGCATGCAATACTAAAATCTGGTAAATAGTTAAATCAGTATTAAATCCTTTAGCTGAATGCTTGAATCGTTTTCTCGAGCTCTTCTATAACCCCGGGCTGAATCTACACGACAACTTAAACATGAGAGAATAGGCGCAAAATGTGGTAATTGTGCTTTATTTCAAGGTTAGGTTATGTACAGAAAATTGAGGGTATTTATGGCATTTCAGATGGCCTTGGGCTTCTAGAAAGCTCGGGAACCCTACTAAACATAGTAGCAAGATAGATAATTATTCAATCAGAAATGTGACATGTGACGTTTCACTTCCTAGATGTTTCAAAGAAACTTCTATTCAATGCTATTTTAATAAAAAATGTTTCTTAGCAATTTCAAAGTTTCTTTGGGCTTTTTTTCGAGAAATACTCTGGATCTTCCCGAAAATCAATAATCCTTAAACCGATCAACAGTTATTTTTACAATTAAATTAAATTGAGTTGCTTTAATGTAAAGTAGGTAAACATTAGAAATCCTAGTAATAATGAATAGGTTTTCTTATTTGCTTGAAGTTCTCTTTTATAGCTGATTTTTATAATTGTACGTGTTTAAATCTAGAATATTTAAATCCCTCAAGAAGTAGAGTATACTTATCACATAGTCTAGCTGAACTTTAACATAATAATCTACATATTTTAACTCTATCTTAATATAGTTTAACTGTATTGATTCTATCAATCTCATATGTCCTGACGTTATATCAGACTAAGAAATTCAGTTTTAAATAAAATTAGTAATAAACAGAACAAATGGTTTAAGGATAGTAGTGGAATCCAAGACGCATGTTTCCTACTATTTGGGAGTCGTCAGCTGGATGTACCTGCATCCCAGTGCTGACGTTCACATTAAAACTAGTACCTCTCATTCAAGCGCGAAAAAACTTGTTCGCTGAGTTAATGAGTCCAACAAATATTTATCAAGATTCAGTCAAATATATCAACAAAGGAATAATTCAAAATTTTCCTAATAATGATGCAATCACAAATAGTTTTATGAAAACTAAGAAATAACTTCCGTTCTATTAAAGTACATTTAACTGTTTCACATTTTCTATGTCCGCGATGCCTACTACCTATACTTAAGAATGAGGTATCACTACAGTTACTATGACGCGAAATAAGAACACAATGACTAGTACAAGTTAAGATTTATTAACCTCAAAAACACGACGATCCTATTCGAAAGTACACTCATTTATTTATAGACTGTAGAACTATTTTGAAAAAAATGTTACACATATGATAAATACTCAGAGTTATAATAAACAACATGCCACATATCATACGAAGCATAGTTCACATTAATTTAATACAAAGAATATCATATCTTAAATAAACATCATATTAAAATAAAAATAATGTTATACCATGCAAAATATCACACTGGCGAACAAAAAAACGCTACATTGAGTAATTAACACATTGAATTTGGAACAGAAGAATCACAATAAGTAAAAGAATGAAACTTTGTCTCTTTCCTCTTGTCATATCAAATCTTTATTAATTGTTATAATGAAATACCCATACGTAAATCTGTTCTATACGCTTGTATACTTATTGTTTATATTCTTAGTATTTATTATATTCCGACGAGAATAATGAAAGGCAACGGTTTGGATCTATTTATGAATTTATAATATATATATATATATATATATATATATATATTGCATAATTGCTAAGTAACTAGACTATGTATATTCATATTTCTCTTATTATAAGCTTTTATTTGACCTATCGACTATTATTACACGATTCACACTTCTTAAGTTATACCCAGTTTGTTAACTACAATATCTTACAATCACACCTATTTTTGGTTTGATCGTGTACAAGTGTTATTTTTCTATTTTATGGTGTGATGTGGTCTATTTGGATTGTATATAAACCTAGTATGTTTGAAGTATATGATTTGTATCATGGAGGCTGAAATTTGTGTTCTGGAAAAGACCAATCGGGGCCTCAAGCTGTTCGTTCAAGGGTATACATCATTTGTTGGTCATATAAATCCGCATACCTAAATTTGGCAATAATATTCACAATAATCATGAGGTCGTGGATGCGCACTGTTGAGGAGTTCCATAATAGGACGAAACGACTGTCCAGTGCTTTCAGATTTTCCATGGTGGTCTAGCTTCAACTGACTGATGATCTCAACTATTGAAATAATCATATAAGTTAAGGATATAACAAATATTAATGTTTTTCATTTCCAATCACTAATTATTTTGCACCTATTTGGCATATCATTCAATGACAGAGTGATCATTATAAAATGATAATTTTATAAGTGAAATGATCAAATCAGTTCACATTGCAAAGTGAATGTGTTAGTATAGAAGATTACTATTTTATTATTTTATTCATTTGATAAATGTGTTATTATTACTATTATTATGTAAACAATTAGGTATAGAGTATACTGATCATTGTTAATTTAATTGTTTCAATAATATCAACACATATTGATCTATAATAACAATTAGAATGGGAATAAAACATATAAACATGATTTTATCATCTATAATGCAACTGAATATAATTGGCTAATTCAATATATTACATCAAATACAATAGAGTATTTAACTAACAGTATAAATGACTACTACCAGTACTACCATTTTAATGTAAATATTGTAAACTATTGTATACTATCCTTGTTATTTGTACTACTATCCAGTGTTTAATACACAAACACGCACACACAGACACCACTATTCGGTATGTATGAAAATTCACAAAAAGAAAGGAACTATTTATTAAAAAAATGTACATTTTCTAGCTAAGGTAGAATGAGTTATAAATATAATGAATTACATTAAAGCTTATATTAATCATTTCATAAATTAATTGTACAATTAAACAACTAATTGTTATAAATCAAATAATAATTCACAATGTATATGATTAAAATAAAATAATGTAAACTAAAAATTAATAGAGGGAAAAAAAGATAAAATGTTTTTTAGGATAGAAGTTTCCCTATTGGTTGCTCACTTATGTATATATATATAAATAAGTGAATTATCACTTCGTAACAAAAAGATACATTTAATCAGACTATTTAAATTGAAATAATTATATAATAATTTTTGGAAAAAAAATCGATAAAATTTAATTTTTTCTTTCATACAATGTTTATATTTGAAATGCCACGTGTTGTACATATACGTAAACCGGGATTAGCTATATTACATCGTTTCATTCAATTTATTATATTAACTTATTTTATTATCTATGTAATGTGGTTAAAAAAAGGTTATCAATCATTTGATCGTCCTATTAGTGGTGTAGCTGTTAAAGTATATGGTATAGCATGGAAACAAATATTTAAATATCAAAATCGTGATACAAATGGTATTATTGTATTAGATAATGGTGATTATTTATTACAACCAACACAAAATTCTGGTTTTTATTTAATTACAACAATTAAACATTTTGTTATACAAAGTATGACAACATGTAGTGAAAGTGATCGTTTACCAGATGCAATATGTTATAATGATAATGATTGTCCAATTGGTTATCAAGCTGGTTATAAACCATATGATCCAAATGGTATTGTACCAAATGAAAATAATATAGAAATTGATGAAAGTGGACATGGTATATTTACTGGTAAATGTTTAATAAATTATAATAAATGTCAAATATATGGTTGGTGTCCAACTAGTGATGATTATGAATATGAATTACGTAAACAACGTTATTATAAATTACAATTATTAAAACCACCAAATATATTAGAAGGTTTTTATAATTATTTTAATGATTTAAATTTTTTAGATAATAAACGTCAAATTAATGAACGTACTATACATTTAATAGATCCATTTTTTGAAATGATTAATTTTACATTATTTATTAAAAATAGTATAGAATTTCCTAATTTTAAAATAAAACGTAGTAATATATTAACATGGATGACAGAAATTTATATTCAAAATTGTTTATATAATTCAAAACATGATATAGATAAATATTGTCCAAGATTTCGTTTATATGATATATTTCAATTAGCTAAAATTAATTCAAATCGTTTATTAAAATATGGTGGAGTAATAGCTATTACTATACATTGGCAATGTAATTTAGATTGGAATATTAATTATTGTTTACCTAATTATGAATTTTTAGAATTAGAAAGTGTACATAAAGTAAGAAAAATTAGAACAAATAATATAAAATATAATAAAATAAACAATAATAATAATACTGGTTATTGGTTAAATTCATCTACAACATATTCATCTGAATCAACATTAGATTATACTGATAAAGTATATGAATCATATATTGATGATGATGATGATATTATTGATGATAATGAAGAAGTAATAACAATTCATGAAGGTTCCAGTTTACGTAGTACTGCATATTATGGTTATGATACAGAATTAATAAAACAACGTAAACGTATATTAATTCATGTAAATGGTATACAATTTATTATAAGAGTTAATGGTATAGCTGGTAAATTTAATTTATTATCATTTACAATGAAATTTGGTTCAGGATTAGCATTACTTAGTTTATCAACAATAATAACTGATTTAATTTTATTTTATTTTACATATAATCGTGAAAAATATAAAAAAATTATATGTGATGATAAAACAATAAATTTTTTATTACAAATTACTATTAAAAAAAATTTATCAAAATCTTCTTCTTCTTTATAAATCTGTTTTATTTTAAGTGTGTGTGTGTGTATGGTTAAAAACAAAAAACAAACAAAAACATTTTTTTCATAAATATATTGACAATAATTACAAATTTATATTTAAGAATAAATAGAAAAAAGAAAAAAATAGAAAATGAGGAAATTTTAATCTCTATTTAAAGTTACAAATGAATAAGAAAAAAATTCAAATAAATTTTTTTTGTTTAATTTATTGATGAGTTTCAATAAAATCATTATTGATATTTATAATTCAGTTTATGTTACATCATGATAATGACTAAATTTACAATTATATCTACAATGAATATCACTACTACTACTACTAATATTAATACTAATACTAATACTAATATTACTACCAAAATTAATACTAATAATCATAATGATACTTGTGCAGATTAATTAAATGCAAATCTAATTAATATAACAGTACAGATTGATTCAGAAATAGAAAGGCAAACTACAATATACAGTACAAACACAAGTTCCTGATTGCACTACAGAATTTGTAAAAGAATTTCATAAGTACATGTTAAAATGAAAAGCAATTATTATCATAATGTTCTTCATTTTGCTTTACACAGTCATCATCATCATCATCATCATTATCATCATCACCATTATAACCATCATTATTACAATCATCTCCATCGTCATTGTCTTTTTTTCATGTGAATCAATAAAGATATGTGAAAGTAAACTATTTTCATATTGAAATATGTTAGATATTATTATGAAAGAAAAAAAATTGTTTACACTATTCATAATCATTGATATTACTTGTGGAACAATAATGACATAATTAATTACCTGCTAAGTCATATTATTTGTCATTAAGAATAATTATATCATTCTGTTGAGTGGCAAACGCATTCTTTTTATTTAAAATGAATACTTTATTCTAAATAGAAAGAAACGAGTTTCATTTAATTTTCTTTCATATAAGGAAGTGAAGAAATTGGAAGGTTGATTATATATAGTAAAAGAATAAGTATACTATTTGTATCACAGACTGATGACAATGACAATGATGATGATGATGATGATGATGATGATGATGATGATGATGATGATGATGATGATGATGATGATGATGATGATGATGATGATGATGATGATGATGATGATGATGATGATGATGATGATGATGATGATGATGATGATGATGATGATGATGATGATGATGATGATGATGATGATGATGATGATGATGATGATGATGATGATGATGATGATGGAATCTATAGAAAATCTCGATGTTTCCATATGGCTTTTTACATCTGTTCTTTGTCTATCATATTTGATTCGAGGTTTGTTATACATCAGAGCTTCTCACCTAAACACATTGTCTGAATTGAAATCTACTTCAGTAATGAAGTTTCGAGTTCATATCAGTTTACCAATTTATTTCATTATTATTTGATAAATTTATATCGTGGTGTTTATTTTAGATTTTTGAAATCTCATTAATAAATTAGGCTTTTTGAGTATTTTTTGATAATCATTCTTAATTAGAAGAAAAGTTTTGTGGGAGTTCCCCATTCATCATAATTTTTCTCAAACTAAGCTGTCATTTGTTCTTCGTTACTTCATGGGTTTCATTTTCAATTAACCGTTTTATCTGCAATGATTATAACTACAATAATTGTAGGTATTTAAACGTAATAGAGGTGAGAAGTAAATGAAATGATATCATGAGCAATCATGAATAAAATAATGAAAATATGATACATAGGTAAAGGAAGAAATGTAGTATTATTAATAACAAATTAAGGTCAAGGTAAAGATAATGATAGGACGTACTTCTTTTTTACGCATAGTTTTGGCTTGAGTTCATGGATGGTAAGAGCTTCGGTTATTTTTAGGAGTTGGATATGAAGAAATGTAGGTAGATTTAGAATAATCGTACATGCAACCTTAAAATCAAACTGTAGACCATTAGAATAATTACAGTTGATTAGATATTCAAGTATAGAACTTCTAACTGCTTTCCTTTCACCCTTGTAGAACCACACTGGTACATGTTCGCGTATCTGAGTTAAAAGCGAGCGCTAGCTACGACCAATGTACCTTGCTCCACAAGAGCAAGGGAACTGGTAGATGCAAATGGAGGTAACCAGACAAGAAAACAAGTTTCTAATTATGAACGTTATTTGCAGTTTTGCCGCATAGAATATTCCTTTTATTGCTTACTAAACGATTTTTGATTATATCAGATATTCGATTACCTTTTAACTCAAAGTTAGTAAATTTGAAGAACCTTTAATTTGATCTATGCCTCGAAAACTGTTTAGAAAAAATTATCAAAATTACAGAAACTAATGTCGATAAACAAGATATTATAAGGTGAAAAGATCACGTTGACAAACATGTTGTTGGGCATCGAATCATTTGTTATTCACTCGAACAATCAAAATGTAAACATTAATGCTAAATATCTCGAGGAATCATTTGACACGCTCACCTCCATCTGTTTTCTACACTTCCGGTAACAGAGATAGATTTTCCAGTGGTTATTAGTCACGTCCTGTGGAGGAAATATGAATAAAATATGAACGATAATTAGTCTATTTACTGGGTTGTGACACAAATGCTTCGCTCGAACACACATTGTCATGCATGAAGTTGATTGTCAGTCACTCTTTCAAACAATCACTTACAAACACGACTCTCTGAAGCCAATTACGAATATAACTGGAGTATGGTTTGTTGGAAATCAAATGAAATGAATCAGTTGAAGTGAGCTTAGAGAAATCGTATGAATTCATGATAATGGAACGAGACCTTCATTTTCAGTTGATTCTTTCGGATATTTTGTCATACTTTAAACAGTAGTTTACTTTCCAGGGCTTTATTTTTTGCACTACTATATATAGATAATCATCTTCAAAATGTGTGACTTGGATTACGTTGTATTCATTTAGTGCAAGCTGCTCAGAAAATACTTCTCTCGGTTTAAGTGCTATTTTGCTCTGGTAGTGATGAAATAAACGCTTTATTCACACAAGAAGTCCTTAGAAGCAGGAATTACTCTTAAATGATGGGAATCTCACGAATCCAGAATCATCAAATCATTATTTAATACAAATAATGAGGTGACCAAAATGGATGTTATCCAGTATTATTCACACACCAGTGATAGTAATGCAGACGTTAGTGATCAGTTTTATGAGAGGCTGAAGCTGATTGTACAGAAGTGCCTAGGAGAGAACCTGACCATTCTGATTGGATGCCCAAACACCAAAGTCGGAATGGACAACACCAAAAATGAAGATAACTTGGGACGGTATGGATTAGGAGAAAGTAATGAGAATGGTGTGAGATTTGCAAATTTATGTACATTTAACTAAATATCTACAAGTGTCACTATATTTCCTCACAAATAAGTACATACAGCTACTTGGGTTTCACCGGATCACACTACAATGAAACACATTGATCATATGTGAATCAATAAGAAATTCAGAATATCCATAGAGGATATGAGAACAAATGTTGGAGCTGACGTAGCTTCACATCACTACCTGGTTGCGTCCAAGATAAAATTAAGGCTCAAGAAACACTGGGAAACTGGAAAAAAGAAATGCAAATGTTTAACACAGCCTGCCTTCGAGATACTGACAAACTCAACGAAATCAAGATAGCTCTCAACAACAGGTTCCAAGTTTTACAATATCCAATACAGAGGTCAACTGGAAAGGAATTAAAGAGACGGTAACTTCAGCATCTCAATAAGAGCTAGACCCCAAGAAGCACCATCATAAGAAATGAACCGCCATTGATAACACAGGGCAAGATTTAAGAAAAGAAAAACAAGAAGACAGCAATTAACGGCAGCTAAACAAGAGCAGAGTAAGCCAAAGCACTGACTTAATACACAGAAGCAAACAAGCAGAAATACATGGAAGACATTGCAATACTAGTGAAAATACTGTGAGAGGAGAAAATATTAAACAACTACTTAATACAACAAAGAAATTATCAAGGAAATATAGTAAACCAGAATAATCAGTCAAGAACAGAGAAGTCAAGCCAATCTTTGGGATTCGGGAATAATCAAAGGGGTCAATAGAACACTTTGAAGAACTCTTGAATCAATCAGCCTCACTGAACCCACCAAATATCAGAGCAGAACACACAGACCTTTCCACCATCATTGCAGAACCAACATTGCAATCAGACAAATCAGGAGTCGTAAAGCAGCAGGACCAGACAATATACCGGCTGAAGTACTGAAGTCAGAACTAGAGGTAACTCCAGAGAGACTCCACATTCCAACTCAGAAAGAATTGGGAGAAAGGACAAATATCAACAGACTGGAATGAAGGACACTACACCATGATACTAAAGAGAGATCTCAGCAAATGTGAGCACTGGAGAAGAATCACACCACTATCAGTGCCAAGAATAGGTTTTAACATAGTATTACTGAGACGAGTAAAACACTCAGTAGATGCCCAACTTGGTCATCAACAAGATGAATTCCATGAGGATTAGTGGTGTAAAGACCGAATCATAAAACTATAAATCATTGTTGAACAATCAATTACATTATTCGGCTTGTACGCGTTTGGATCCCACAATGAACTGCTTGCTTAACTCCAAATGAACTCCATATTGAGATGCCAATGTACACACAAGTTACCTCAATCTGTCATTACGATCAGCGCATTCAACTTATCACTCACATTGCGTTGCCTCCAAAACATTGTTTTCAGAACTCGTTTATAAATACCCAAGTGCGATTATTCGATGTACAAGAAGGTTAAATTAGATATTTCACTTGTACCCAAATCATCATGAATTATATTGTCTGCCATTGTTCTTAATTGTAAATTACCTGACCAATATTACGGTAGTAATATTAATCTGTGGTGGTTGGTATTCCATATAATCCTTAAACTTCGTTTGCAGTTCGTCCTGACAACCGTCACTAAATAACACAGCAACGGTATATTAATCAGAAGGTAAATACGAAGTGTTGATTAAGTTTATCGTTGTATCACTAAAATTACAGGTACGCTAAGCAAGCGTGAAAGTGTAGTGCCGAAAAGCAAGCAAGAATGTGAGTGAGTAAGCGAATGAACAGGATTAGAATGTACATATATATGCATGGTAAAATGAATGAAACATCAGATCAAATAAGCGACTAACAGTAAGGCTGACAGAATGAATATATGTGTAGGCAGCAAGCAATGCTCAATCATACATATTCATTCAAGTGCAATAATAATAAAGGTACAATGGTATAGGTAAGTTATTATTGTAAGAATGACTCTGTCCGTTGAAAAAGTTAGCAAAACAGCCTGAACAAATTAAATGTGAACAGACTCAATTGCACGTGAGCTGCTATAATAGCTCCTTTCAGCGAACAAAGACACAAAACAGTGTCTGTGTTTGTGAAAAAAACTGTTAAATTTAACAGGGTGGTAACTATCGAAATTTCCAAAATTAAGATGTCTGATAGGACCATCGTGTAATTTATTACAAATACGTGTAAGCTTGAGTTCATATACGTCCATGAGGCCAGATAAGATAATAACGGAAGATCAGATAAATACATTAGTGCTTTTAGAAGTTTATACATATTGACATCAGAATATACAAAATATATCGAATATAATAATAGATAAGTTAAAATTTCCGATGTGCACATGCAAAACAAAGATTGAAAAACAAAATTTACATCCAAAGAGGTGAAGGAAACTGTTAATTCAAAGTCGTAGCTATGTATCTTCGTGGCCATCTCACTCTTCGACCATATCTCGTTGTTACCTGACTCTCTTCGTTGTTGTTCGTCGATGTCGTTAATGATTGAAACTCACGTTCTGACGATCTGACGGTTTTCTAAAGATCTGATCGTCAGCTTCGATGGATGTTGGTTTGACTCGATCGATGCTAAATACATCCGTTTTTCCGGCTTTATCTACCGCAATAGTTCTATCATTTCGTCTGATTACTTTAAATTGACCATCGTAAGCCGGTTGTAAGGGAACCTGCACATTATCCCTTCTGATAAACACATGGATACTTTCGCTCAGTTGTTTTGGTATGTATGCCCGGCGTTGATGTTGCCTCGAAAGCGTTACTCCCAAATTACTCATATTCTTCTTTAGAAGTTGTGCATAGTTGGCTATATCAGTTGGAACACTGTTGACTGAGGTGAAAAACTCTTACGGTAGATTTAAAGTAGTTCCATAAACCAACTCCGCTAAACGACATCCTATGTCTTTTTTAATTGTTGATCTTAAAATAATGACTACTCGGAGCTGGCCTAATCATTTCTGCTAATAACGGCTGTAGATGAGGCTTTAAGTTGTCGATGTAATCCCTCTAACATGACATTCGACATCGGATAGTAATATGTGGTGTGAACACGTTTGATTTCGAAGAACTCTGTGAGTTGTTGGAATAGGCGGTTATCAATTTGAACTTCTCTGTCGGTTGCAATATTAACAGGCATTCCATAATAAGAAACCCGATGATCCAC